CTGTCTCAGCGTTTTGTTTTCCGTTTGTTTTTCTTGTGTTATATAGCACTTATTGCTAGGAAGATGCTAAGAAGTTATATATGAGCCAGAGGCCGCAGTTTGTGAAATTGCCTGCAACTCCAGAGAACTCGTACAATGAGGCTGGATGACTGTTAGGAAGGAGTTTTGTTAGAGTGTTCTCAAGGTTTTTTTTTTGCTTCCTTCTCTACAGAGGAGTCACTCATCGGCTGTTGGTTCATATTTGAACACCCACTACTCGTAATACTTTATAGGAATTGTCTTTAATAATCCTGTCGTGATCTGTTCCTTCCCAATGTCAAATAGAGCTCTACATCGACGATGGAATAGAATACCAGCTTGTGGTTCGCTCGAGAAGTCCCGAAAAATGCGAAAGAACGCCATCACCAAGGACTTAACTCCATGAGCTCTCCGAATGCGAAATAAAGCACATATTCAGTATACCCTCTGCCATCAGGATCACTCACCTGTCCGAACTACTGACTGAACTTGGGAGAGATTCTCCACTATGGAAAGAAGGTCTTCAGTTGTCTTTTTTCAGAAGATTACCCCGAAGATATGAGTTCCCGTCCGGAGGCTTGCACGACAGTATTCACCTCACAAGCAATGCTGGTGTCGTGACTCGGTCACGATATTACAATATAGTGGGCGGAGCAGCCACATAAAAAGGGCGGAACACCCCTCGGGGGAGTCGGTGTTGTGTCCTGGTCGTGGCCCGTACGTCTGGGGGATCTTGCTCTTGATTAGTGTCTTGAGTAATAAGATTGTATGTGATTATTTTGATGATATTGGTGCTTATAATTAGCTATCAATACGATAGATGCTATCTATGAATTGAGGAGAGGAGTAACAACAGCTGGCACTGCCCCTTGACCCTTTCCTTCGTCGTCAGAAATGCTTATGGGGTTTGTTTTTGCTGTGCCGACCCTTGTTTTCTGGTGTTCTTCTGCTGGCGTATTCAATGCGCTCGGCACTTTCTTTCTCTAAAGGGAGACACACAGATTGGAAGTTGTTCAACTGTAATATTTGATGGCCTTATTATGTTCCACCATTACTACTACAAGTTTCTTTCAGGTTGATAAGCTTGTACGAGTCTGTATGAATAGTGGTAACAAAGAAACAATCAAACATCACGTATATGGTGCATTAGAAATTATTAAGAGACGGCAATACAAAGCTTGGTTGAAAGCTAAGGATGAAGAGGAAAGGGTAATAAGCAATTACAACGAACTGCTTCACAGTTTTATTTGCTTGCTTAATCGTTTGCCATTTTTTTGCTCATCCTTTTCCTTTTTTTCAGAGCAAGATTGAACTGGATCCCTTCGAAATTGCTAGAAAAGCGATCAAAAATTGTCATCCACTCATGAAGTTGCAAGGAGTAACCAGAGGTGAGATGAAAGTTCTGTTTATCGAGTATAAGTCATCAAGGTA